ATTCGGCAACATCAGAAGCAGAAGCATCGAGATCTGGCAACATTGAAACAAGTTTCGAGAAGGACCATGTGTATCAACAGAAGGCGAGAAGAGAAAATTTACATACTTAAGTACTAATAGTTCACGAAAATAATAATTTTCGTGAACTATTATTACTTAAGTATGTAAAAATTTATTACATTTCCTGTTGTACGAGGGTTTTACCCAATTCTCAAACCGTGTCAGAGTGAATCCATGCTATAAAAGTACCATGTTATACGGGGGATGGTACCAATTCTCAAACCGTGTTAGAGTGAATCCGTGCTATAGAAGTGCTGTGTTATATGGGGGTTACCTGTATTTAATGTTGTTATAAATGCCTGCAGAATTGATCCTTGAATTTTAATTATTGCATATTAAATAATAAAAAATGATTAAATAATAAAATTTATAATTAAATTAAAATTAAATTATATATTTTATGAATTTAAAGGCATTCTTTAAACATGATATTTATATTGATTTTCTTCATTAGATATCTTACCCACTACATCTATTATCTATTGATTGATTAGAGTATGAATAGAAATGCAATATTCTTATAAAGTAAAATAAATAATAGTAATAAATGAAAAATGAAAACATTATTATTAAAAATAATTTACCATGTTTTCCTTCTGGAGTCTTTTTTGAACTATCTGACTTTTTTTTCTTTTCTGCACTCTTGGATCTTGTGGGAGACCTAAATATTAACAAAAGGATTTTATAATTGTTTCTCAGATATTTAAATTTTTTTAATATATATAAATAAAGCGATTTCACATTATTGAAAAGTCTTAATTAAGATTAATTTTTTAATCATGAATGAATTATTGTAGATAAAGAAATTTAATTACCTTGAAGCAATTACAGGTGAAATTGAGAAAGTAGAACAGCGATCTTGGTTAGAAAATTCTGGTAAGTAGGGGGATGATTTTTCACCAAGAAGGGGTCCTCCGTGACTGCGCCACCTGTATTCATCTGCTTTCTTCAATCTCTCTGCTACCTCTGAGTACCAAGCATTAGGATCGACTTCGGCTTTTACTTCATCCTGAATTTTTGAAGTCAAAAAGTTAAAAATTCTAAAATACTTAATGTCTAAAATGCAAAATGTATTTCAATAATTGTTAATATATATCTGTAAAATATTTGAAACACTTCATGTTGATCAATATGAAGTGTTCCAAATAAAGCATCACACACCAATTTTTTTCCCTTTAATAATAAAGAAATGCAAAAATTAGAATACAGTAATACCTTGACTTACGCAAACCCAGAGTTACGCGATTTTCAAATCTCGTCGATTCGTCTTTTGTTTGAGCACCATGCAACCCTTGATTACTCACTCCCTCTACACTATTGTTCATCTTACATGTTCGGATGTGTCGCACGGAATCCACACATAGCTACAATTTATTTTGTGTTATTTATATCTACGGAGACTCGAGAGACTCTACTATGTCATCCAAATGAAGTAGAACTAATTCTTCTGTATCAAACAAGAAAAGAAAAACTTTATCTTTGGAATGTAAAGTTAACATTGGGTATGTTCGTAAAGTCTAACAAGTTAAACGAGAATGACGTCATTGTTATTCCTATTTCGTTAGACTTTTCAAACGATTCATTACTAACGCATTTAACTCATTTGACTTGACTTTACGAACATATCCATTATTAAAGACTTTGATACAAAAATGAAAATTTGTGAATTGGCAAAGAAGTTTGATCTACCGGAATTGTCGGTCAGAACAATTATAAAAGGCAAAGAAAAAATTCTCAAAGCTGTGAAAAATGCTCAATCTTTATATTCAAGCATCATTCGTAAACGTCANAACAAAAAATTGTTAATAAATTAATTTTTAATATTTTATATTGTTAAAAAATACAAAATTGAAAAATACCAATCAAAATAAAAGTCATCATATTTGAATAAAAGCCATCATGCTAGAATTAAATTGTAGTATTTCTTTATTTGACCTTTGACTTATTATGTTTATTTGACCTTAATATTACAACCTTTATTTGATAGTAAATGATGATTATTAGAATAATTGATACAATTAATAGGTTTTTATATATAATCAACTAGCCAGTGTACCCTGCAATGCTTGAGTTATCTTAAGATAGTTTTCAAACCCATTTTATATTTTATGTGGTTTTGTTAAACATTGATACATGTGGTAGTTGGAAACTATATACATTGAATAATTGCTTCTCTTCTAGTGTCATGAATTGCATAAGACTTATGCAATTCATGACACTATTCTTTTGATCATTTCTTATGCCATAAGAGATGATCAAAATGGCAAAGAAAAATGATGAACGTAAAACAAAATTTATTTTATCATCTTTGTATAGACTTTTTCCATGGTATTTTATAGAAATATTTTCAGAAGTTAAAAAATTTCTGTCAAATGATGATGAGAGTATTTCTTAACAGAACAATTGGCAACAAAACAGTTTAAAATGATATATCTCCAGAGGTATTAATTATATTTTAAAGAAACTCTGAATATAGATGGGGAACTAATAATAATGAGATTTTTTAAAATAAATACTTACAACATGAATATTTTTTAAGATTCTACATTGGAAGCAATAAACTAAAATATCTTAATTATTTATTGTGACATCATCACAATGCCAGACTGCAGATTTTAATCATATTTTAATTTAAAAATTAATCTGGGCCTCTGGTCTCAATTTTTTTATATCTAATTCCATCTGCAAAGTTAATGAAGGACAATGGAAATTTATGTCTGCAGTTTTCAAATTGCAGCCCAATTATCAGTATTCGAGTGGAGAGAGACTGATTAAATGGTAACATCATCATGACTGATTTTAGCCAGTTGCACATCATTATTTAGGACATGTTTTTAATGGCATTACAGATTTGTTTGCTAAAACAAACTTTTGTTGTCATTTGAAAGAAATTTCTATGTTTTTGTGAATTTTTCTATAAAATGCAAAGAAACACATTTATAGGAAGGCATATAGATAAAAAGAAAGATCAATTTCCTAAAATGCTGAGAGAAAAGAAGACAAAATTTAATGACACCCACAGAGATAGAATGTCATTGCATAAATAGAAAATTTAGTTTGATTTAGATTAGCAACAAATTTTGTTAATGTTACTATTAGATCAAACATTATACAGTTTCAATCATGATTTTAAATGTTAAGTTCATCTAGAAATCCTAAACTCTGATAACTGGTACATAATTTTTAAAAAATTTTAACAGAAATTCTATTGTTATAAATTACAGTATAAAAATCAAAATAATTTAAATTATAATGGTAAAAAAATAATACCAAAAGGAATTGAACATAATATTGACAAAAATTTTCTACGTATTGGTCAATAAAATTTTTCATCTAAATTTGTTGAATATAAAAATAGGTTTGAGGGAAAAAATTATAAGAAATATTCTGATTTGATTAAATTAGCTTTGTTATCAGTGATCTATTTGTTTCTTTGCTAACAAGTAACTTTATTGAATAGTTGATTTCAAAAAGATTACTACTTAAGAATTTTATAATCTAATTTCAATAGATATTCTTTAGAATTATCTAACAAAGCAATATCACTAACTATATATATTGTTATAATGATGAATTGTAAATACAGTCAAACCTTGTATTGACTCCAGTTTGTATTGTTTGAATAAATCCAGTTTGTGAACCAATTTGTTTGAAAAGTAACTTCAAATTCATATTTGCCCTGGTTGCTGAACAGGCTATTTGGCAAGAGCAGACCACTGATTAAAGAGATACAGATAGTCAATTCCTTTACTTCCTATGTTAAAGAAAGTCAATGGCCCAACCAATCAACAATAGGACTACTGATTCAGAAGTTAGTGGTGCTGAGATTACCTTAGCCCAGTTAAATTTAAATAAAATTAATTAATAAAAACCACATTAATTGATATTCATGTAATATAAATGGCATCCAAAAATTTGTGTATAAAGTACTTAGTAAATTTTTGTTATTTAATTTGACTTAATATAATATTACATTGCATTTGTAGGCATTTTTATGCATGAAATACAACTAAAAAGGTAAAAGTTTTTTCTTTTTTTATTTTGGTGGTCAGGAACAGATTAATTCATTTCATATTATTCTTTACTTCACAACTGGATGCATAGGTAGACACTGGGCAACTTTAACATCATTCAGACACTTCAGACAACATCTTACACACTGATATGTGTTTTGGGCATACACCTCTCATACAGTGAACTGTTGTTCAGTACACTGTTGGGAAATTTTAACTGTAAATATATGTATTTTAAAAAAGGATGTGTATTAGTTAGCACCTCTTTACTAAATGTCTTAAAGAAAAATCTAATGGAAGAGGGGTGTATGCCCGAAATGCATATTGATGTGTGAGAGAGCCCATGGATTTTAAAGGGGATTTTCAGATTAATGTTAATCGTTTTTCCAAATAAATATCCCCAATAGAAAAAAATGGAGAATCAGATGGGAGGTCACCAGTTATAAAAACAAGTCAGTGGGAAAGTTGACACATGGCTATCAAAAACGCTTTGTCAGTGTCAACACTTGACGATCACGTGACATCTTTCCCACAACAATAGTATAAAAGTGTGAGCTACCAGAAGCTCGGGGCAAGTGTGAGCTACCAGAAGCTCGGGGCAAGTGTGAGCTACCAGAAGCTTCGGGGGAAGTTATAATTGGTAATAGTGCCACCTCGACTCCTGGACCTCCATATAGTGGACCCGATCCAGCAAAAAAAAAGGGGGGAGGAGATGACACTGGTTGGAAGATACTGAGGACTCCTACCTCTTCCATACAAATGCTGTTCTCCATATCGACTCTCTGTTACACCCGAGAGGTATTTAGGGGCTATTAGAATTTGTAAAAACTCTCTCTCAAACTAGAGATTAGGCCAGCGACATAGTTTAGAGATTAGTCGCCCATTTTGGTGTAAATAGTATAGCTCATAATCGCATTTAACCTTACCACTTATATAGCCTCCTATAATCAGGAGTTAGTTAATCAATAAATGCTTTGTTATTTTGTTAAACCTGTCTCCTGTCTTTGAAAGGATGCCTGCCGACTTGCTCACCCCCTCGCCACTCGATAGAAAGCCATTCAAAGGACAAAGTGGGCAAGTTTTACCAACTTGACATGTAAGAGGCAATTAGGAATTGACCCTGTGCCCTTGCAATCTCACAGTGTGTAAGATATTCTTGAATAAAAAGTGATGTTAAAGATGTCTACTGTCTACCTGTGCACCCAGTTGTGAAGTAAAGAATAATCAAAGGAAGACATGGTTTGGAAAAGTCAATAATAGTCATTTTACATTATTTCTTATGGGGAAATTTGTTTCAGTTTTACAACAAATTGGTTTTTGAACAACTTTAGGAATGAAATTATATAGTCAAACCTCGGTTTTCAAACATATCATTTAATTAGCTATGTAATGAACAAAAAATTTAGGCTAATCAATTTATATTATTACTGACATAACAGGACAGCAATGTTACACTGCAGATTATAATGAAAAATTTACATTAGAATTTTGTTTATTTTACAAAAAGTTATTTATTTTTTCCTCCTTTTATTAATACTACTGAAAAATCAAATGAAATGATGTTATTTGAATGCACAGAAAAAATTTGAAGTAATGTTTTTTAAACCTAAATATTTTTTTCTAAGACATCAGCTCAAAGCTAAAATTGTATGGTACCATCTGTTATAATATTTTATTTAAAAATAATTTTTCTATTATTAATTCTTATAAAAAGGCAAAAGGCATATTTTTGAGGATGGGCAAGTTTTTTAAAAAGTTGTAAATACTAATAACCAATAAAATTTTCATTAAGCTTGACCCCACTTGGAATATGGCACACGACCCTTTTTATCTCTCCATCCCCTGATCTGTACTCACTAAAATTTAATAGCATCAATGCCACATATATAGAAATAACCTTGCAAAGTTTTAGAATTTTAGATTCGTCTAGTCCTGAGATAGAATGCAAAATAGGTGTTGACACACACAAATACAGTTTTGTAACAGTTTTTTTTGT